CAGAGAAGTACAAGGAGATGAAAAAAAAACAAATAGCTCTGGATGGGAAAACAAATTCAAAACAATTTAAGGGAACTTATCAAAGAAAATTTCCCCGAACTGAAATTCCCGTTGCAACAATATGTGGGGGCTTAATTGGAACACACGGAAGATACTTTTAGTCTCAAAAAGAAAAAATAAAAACTGCGTCCACTCACTAAACGTGTTTACTGTCGAGGTTTTACAAAGTTTTGACTCTAGGGCTGTCTCACCCCTTACCCCTAAAGGGTTAAAAAGCTTATGCAAGATGCTGGAAACTCAAAAATTTGGGTGGGATGAGAACTTGCCTCTAGAATGAGCAAGATGGGATGAAATACCGGGGTTTAAAAAAACTTCTCAAATTAAAAATTTTCCCCGACAAATAGGTCAAGAGGGAAACAATACACATTACTGTGTTTTGTGATGCGTCAAGGGTTATGGCGCTGTAGTTAATGAGTAAATTTCTGAAGGAAGTCACTAATTACTTTAAAGGCCCGGGGGCCCTTGAAGGGCAGAACAGTCCACAATTGAACTGACAACACTTATGTAGGGACAAAAAATTTGTGTCTTCCACAAAGTACTTTATGTTACTATTGAGAAAACCGTGTCTGGGGGATAATGAGCAGTTTCCCGTGGTTAAAAAATAAAAAGAGTAAGTTGGTTATGTCAGAAAGAGTAGCGAAATAAAAGAGATGCAGAGAGATTATCTCTTTTTCCCCGTCTCTACCAAGAGAATCAGCTGACATGGTCACGTGGTGCCCCCTCAAGAAATTTGTGGATAAAATTATGGCTCCACGGACCGAACTGGTCTCTGATGAAAATAACGGCCCCAGCAAAAAACTCACATTATGCCCGAAGAAAAATCGCTTGAAACAGCAGAAAAAAAGTTGTGTAAATATGCAGACACAAAAGAAATAGTCATTTATGGATCTAATTTCTTCTTTGGGTAAATCAAGAGTTACAGTCTTGTTTTAAATTCATTAAAAGGGGTTAAACTGATTATGAAAATCTTGACCCATTAAATACTGGGGGAAAAATAATACGAAAGACGTTTTTCTAAGATATAAATTTCTAGAAAAAACAAGTAAAACCCCAAAAAGAAACCCGTTTGATTAATTCTTTAGGGCTTTATTCGACTAGAAAAGTTTGAGAGTCGAGGAAGAAATTTTTTAAATTCTTACTTCCTAAAGAAGCCCTACATCCCAAAATTGATCCCCCGAATCAGGCTACAAAACTGATTGTGCAAAAAACCCCGTAAGTGTTCATGGTGGGGGGAGCTGCACACTTTGTCATAACGCAATCCTACTGGTTTTCCCCAAAGGGCGACAAAAGTGGAAAAAAAAAAAAATAAAGGGTGTATTACTTGTCGTCATACGATTGCGGTATGTCGTATCCCGGTCACCTCCCCTATCCCTTGAAAGAGTTTGTCATATATCCATTTGAGGGGACAGGTGAGATTTCATGGACCCAAAAATTTTAACCAAAAAAGTTGACAAAATTCCATCAGGGTAATTGTTTGTTTTTACTTGTGCTACAAATAAGAGTACATTAGAAGTAGCCATGACATGTTGCGAAAATTTTTATCAAAATTTTTCAGAAGGTTTTAGCCGAAGGGCTGTCCGACTGATGATTTCAGATAATGAAAAGAACTTTTTTGCTGGTGCTCTTTATATAGAAGTCCTTTTATCAAACCAGAAGTACAACAGTGTGAATCAACGCAGATGTCGTTGGGATAATTCCCTAAAACTCCCTGGGCCCGGGGGATTTTTTCGAAAGAATGATCGGCATTTAAAACGTTTTTTAAGAAGACTCTTATGTCAGGAATAGACTTTGAAGAAATTTCCCTCAGTTGTGATGAAATAGAAAAAGAGTCACAACAGACCTCTAACTTACGTTACCGATGATCTGGACAATTTGAAGTGTTAAGTCCATCTCATTTTCCCTGGCGAAGGCTCGAACCCGTTCCTCCATATGATAAAGAAATCATAGAGGATCCCACTTATTTCAACCTGAGCAACTCAGACGTAAAATTTAAAACTTATAAAGTGATTGAACGTTGGGAGAAAAATTTTCGAGAAGACTATCTCACCCATTGAGAGAACATTTATGGAGTGGTGTTCCTGAAAATTAAGTCCTTAAGACCTGGGGAATAGTGATTATTGAAATGATGGTCCCAGGTCCCATGGGCCCCTTGGGGGAAAAATGTGACCTATTGATGCAAATGGAATTCGACAGTTTGTTTTGAACAAAGGTGTAGTGAATAAAGGGGCAATAAAATAAAAAGTGCCCTTAGAATTACAGTGTTGAAAACAAAAAATTTGTGATTCTCAGACACCACAAGACTAAAGCTGTTCAGAAAAGAAAGCAGCAGGGGGCGGGAAAAATCAAATTAATGTTAATGTGAATTGTTCACCGCACGAACCCCCGCCGCCCCCCAGTGTGGGGAATTTTCTCCGGAGGGGGGTTCGCCCCTTCAGCCTTTCAGCTGGGGGCCCCGAAGGGGCGAGCTTTGTTTTTGCTGAGTGAGTATTTTATACGATGCTATGCCCCGTAGTCAAAAGACCCCGTCCCTTTCGCGGTGTTGCAACGGTATTTTTATAAGGAAGTACATCTCTTATTAGAGGACAATTTAGGGAAAATCCCGCTCCCACTTTTTTACCATGAAAAATATTGTACTTGTTGTCTTGATTAAGACAGAAAAAAAAAAAACATTTGCTTTGCTTCTCGAGGAGGTGAAAGGAGCAAGGTACTTGGTACGTTTTTTTTTTTTTTTTGTTGGGGGCAGTGTGCATGGAGCACTGTGGGTCTGGCAGACTAAAATTTGACTCTAATTTTTGGGACCTGCGCTAGGATAACAGAAAAAAACTGACTGTGCGTAGTGTGAAAAAGTGTCTTAACACAAACACTTAATAGAAGTGTGATCAGTTTATTGTGATACCTTTTGAACAAAAAAGACAAATTTGGGAAAAATGTGTACCCGTGTGCATTTTAGAACAATGGAAAACGTGGCATCCAAGGACACTGAGGGGTTTATCAAATCACGTATCGCGAAGGGGTTGGAACACCCTGCTCACTTACAAAAAGGGAAGGGATGTTAAGAATTTTTTTGTGATCGGGGGATTGCGCAATTCTTGCTCACAAGGAGTTTGAAACAAATTAATCGGAGTTGGTGTGGACTTTTGAGTCCAAACAAGTATTTGTCAGATCATCGAATGAAATTGCTGAATAAACCCCCTAGGGTAATTTTTTTTCAAAGTATCTCTTGCAGCCCCCTTTGTGATGGTTTCGACGCTTTAGACCCCGTTGCAGGGGCGGCTGTGTAGACGATTTTCTGTTTTTTAAGCTAAGTGTTTATTATATATTGTTATAATAAAAACGGCAGGGAAGGCCCCCAAATCCAAAACTACTATACTGTCAAGGAATTTGGAATTTCATCTCTTTCCAGTGGTTTTTCTGGCATATTATATTTAAAATTTTATATATTTATAAATTTTTATTATTTTTTATTATTATATAATTTTTAGTTAGCCATCTGTCAGTTAATTTTGGGACAATTGTTTTAATTATTATTGCCAAGAAGATTGTCTTTAAATTAATAATTTTTATTTTTAAAAAGATTATAACTTTGTTTTTAGTTATATATAACTTCTGATAATTTCGGTGATTTACTTTTCCCCTGGCCCTGGTAAGCGTTTGGGGGTATTTTTTTAAATGCAAAAAAAAAATGCAATAATGCTATGGGTTAATCCCACTGGTAACAGGTAGTTGCCTTTCTGTACGCCCGGGGGTTTTAAACCTGCTGATGGTGAAATCATGCGGCATCCCGAGGCTGTCACAGCGCTCGTGCTGGTCAAGCAACAGAGGCCGCTGTCAGCACAGGAGTGAACCCCAGCTAGTGAACATTGCCAGGGGACAGAACTTAGGCATGAGAGAGTTATAGCAAGATGGTTAATATCACCATCAGCACGTGCAGCATGATGGCTGGTATTACTGTCAATAAGTACATGACAACTGGTATTACTGTCAATATGTACATGACAACTGGTATTACTGTCAATATGTACATGACAACTGGTATTACTGTCAATAAGTACATGACAACTGGTATTACTGTCAATATGTACATGACAACTGGTATTACTGTCAATATGTACATGACAACTGGTATTACTGTCAATAATGTACATGACAACTGGTATTACTGTCAATAGTACATGACAACTGGTTATTACTGTCAATATGTACATGACAACTGTATTACTGTCAATATGTACATGACAACTGGTATTACTGTCAATATGTACATGACAACTGGTATTATGTCAATAAGTAATGGGCAACTGGTATTACTGTCAATATGTACATGACAACTGGTATTACTGTCAATATGTACATGACAACTGGTATTACTGTCAATATGTACATGACAACTGGTATTACTGTCAATATGTACATGACAACTGGTATTACTGTCAATATGTACATGACAAAATGGTATTACTGTCAATAAGTACATGACAACTGGTATTACTGTCAATATGTACATGACAACTGGTATTACTGTCAATATGTACAGACAACTGGTATTACTGTCAAAAGTTTCATGACAACTGGTATTACTGTCAATATGTATATGACAATGGTATTACTGTCAATAAGTACATGACAACTGGTATTACTGTCAATATGTACATGACAACTGGTATTACTGTCAATATGTACATGACAACTGGTATTACTGTCAATATGTACATGACAACTGGTATTACTGTCAATATGTACATGACAACTGGTATTACTGTCAATATGTACATGACAACTGGTATTACTGTCATATGTACATGACAAATGGTATTTCTGTCAATAAGTACATGAAACTGGTATTACTGTCAATTTGTACATGAAACTGGTATTACTGTCAATATGTACATGACAACTGGTATTACTGTCAATATGCACATGACAACTGGTATTACTGTCAATATGTATTTATAATATAATTGTTGGTGTTCAGGTGTCAGTGTACTTCCCGGAGCTGCCGCCGCTGCTGGAGATAGAGAGGAACATCAGTCTGTCACTACTCAACTCTCACCTGGGCAACAGCATACCAGTACCACTGCTTCCCTCTCAGGTGGAGGTGGGACCCATGCACTGTGTCCCTGGCCAGCCTCTCCCTGAGGTAACTTCTTTTTCTTATATTTAACCGGGAAAATCATATGACTGGAGTTATGGTTTGAGCGAGGCAAGATGGCGTAAACTCCGGACACATGAATAACGGGACACATAAATGACGGGACACATGAATGATGGGACACATGAATGACGGGACACATGAATGACGGGACACATGAATGAACACACGAATGACGGACTACTACAGCAGGTGGGATAACCCATGACACTTTTTTAATATGCACAAGTACAATCCAAGTTCCGTACTTGCTACAGTACATACTAACCGTTGGTTTCCATCAGTTAAAGATCCTCATCAAGTCACCAGTGTGTTTTGAAGAGTACAGTATGTGACAAAGTACCGGTTGTTGGTTGGTAAGGTTTGTCAGGAAACAGGACAAGTGTTTTCTGATGCGGGTCTTGGTCATATGATGACCCACCACTGGAGCTTCTGGTCATCTGACCGAGGCAGAACAAGCAACAGCAACAACATAAACAAAGCGGGGGTTATCTTCACGCCAGCAACGATGTGTTTGACGGTCTGATTAAACAAGACGGAAACTGGGAAGTTTGAAAAAGAGGGAAATAAAGTGGGACTGATATTTTTTCTCTCAAACTTTTGGTATTGCTGTGGACCCTCCTCTGTCCCCTGGAGAGCAATTCTCCGGTTGGACTTTACAAATATATATTACACACTACAATGAACCTGCTGATTGGTTAGTTCGAGTTCCTCTGTACTCACCTAAATGTGGTTGCGGGGGCAGATTCACAGCTCCAAGCCAACCTGACAGAGAGAGAGAGAGAGAGAGAGAGAGAGAGAGAGAGAGAGAGAGAGAGAGAGAGAGAGAGAGAGAGAGAGAGAGAGAGAGAGAGAGAGAGAAATAAATTCGTATCAATATACATAAAAGATTATGAAGATAAAGAGCGCAAAATACCACTAACCTCAGTGTTACACACTACAGGATTTGTCGTCGTGGCTTGACGGTGGTGGTGTTGGAGGAGGTGTTATATACTTCAGTCTGGGTTCGGTCGCCAAGGGTGTGACGATGCCTGACAAGTACCTTAGACTCTTCATTGAGACCTTCAGCAGACTGAAGTACCGTGTTATATGGAAGTACGAGTCCAAGATAGAGGGAATCTCCAACAATGTATTTATTAAGGACTGGCTGCCACAACAGGATATTCTGGGTGAGTAAAAAAATGTTATCATTAGCAGTAGTAGTAGTAGTAATAGTAGTAGTACCAGTAATAGTAATATTAGTCTTATTATTATACTATATACGAGTCGTACAGCGCCTAGCATTGAGATAGATGTGACCACATATTTCACATTACAGCATTATTACACTTCATAATACAATTAATGCTGTGATAACTACCTTTATTTTCCTTATTGCTGATGTTCTCGTAGTTGAGGCAGTGATGGCTTCCACAGAGGAAGTATTGATGGAAAGTAATAACGTAAACACAAAATTTTCTTTTCGTAGCCTAGGTAACCCTTGTATGTCCGTCGAAGGTCAGACCCTGGAACTGGAAGGAGAAAGAAGGGTTATCTTCAACACGAGAAGGTTGCTCACATGAAAGGCAGAAAGCCTTTAAAGGAAAAGGCGTGAATTCAAAGTAACTTAAATAAAGATACCTTGAATTCACACAATAATGTAATTAAGATCAGGTATTTCAAATTGCGAGAGGTAGATAAATAACAAAAAGGCACAATACAATAATTCAAATACAGTAAACTAACTCGGAGGATAATACATCTGTTAGGGAACCAGGAGTGAAGTGAGCAACAGAATGTCTAGCTTAGTTGTGACCAGACACATACATTATCCTTACCTCTATTTCTAATTTAGCGTCAGTAACACTGCAGCAACAACCACCCTTACACAACATGCTAATGTTACTACCCCTGCCAATGATAAATGCACCCTATAAATTGTGTCTGTCATTTTCTCGACCATAACAGAAACAGTTTAACTTATTTAGCACTGCTACGTACACCTGCGAATTCATTACTCGACCTTTTTTCGTATCGTCAGTAAATTTACTCACTTCACTTTTAATTGCATCATTAAATTCATCAATTTAGATTATGAGCAACAATAGGACCAAAACTGATCCAGCGGACTACACCATTTGTAACTGTTCCCCATTATAACTTGACTGCACTCACAGGTCTGGATATAAAAAAGTATACAAGCTCTTAGAGACTTGGTCAACACCACTGAAATTATCACCACCACCTGAGAAACGGTTATAATCATAACCGTATTTTTTAAAGGGGTGGACGGGAAAGGCAGCGGAATGCCTCGGTCAGATGACCTGAAGCTCTAGCTTAGCTGCGGGTCATCATACGACTAAGACCCGAGTCAGGAATCACTTGGAGAAGTGAGGTGAAGGGAGGAGTGGTGGCCACTACCAGCGACTGCCATGAGCAAACAACCTGTTAGACACCAACAATTATTAGCCAAAAAAAGCAACACTTTTCTGTATTACTGTGAAATATGAATCATAGAAGTGCGATGAACCAGCGAGTTAAGTCACCTGAGGCTAGGATCAAGTGCTGCCAGAAGACACAATATTTTTCTGACAATCAAACATTAGTTTGATTATAATACTTATTTACGTTTAACGATATATGTCACATAATGTAATATTCACGATGCTATAATTCTCATATAGTAAGTTTCCAACATTAGCTAAATATTAAATAAATATGTTTTCTGCAACATATCACGACTACTCAAAGAGGCGCCGAACTAAGCGTCTGCTTAATAAAAAAAAAAGTGACTTAAGCAATATATATCAATGTAACGGTCTATGTTATACATTGTGGAGACTGTGATAAATCCTAACTGGGGAAAACTTCCAGGTACTTAACCACTAGAATCAAGAAATACAAATATACGTGCCAGAGTTACACATGCACAGTTTATCCTAACACCTGTAGCTTCCCGATGAACATCCTTGAAGCAAATTTAGTTATAAACATAGACTGATGTTGACGACAATGTCTGGCATCAGCTTTATATTTAACTACCAACACCACTTTACAAAACTTGGAGTTTTCCCTGTCTCAGAGGTTTTACCAAGGTTTATTCTACCTAAAACCGACAGACATCAACTGAAACTTCGCCAACGTGCAGGCGACCTCGCTATTCTCCGCAGACCATCCTCGACTTTCTTTACACTTCACAAACCTCTCCTGACCAGCTATATAACTTCATTTTAATCAATCAATCGAGCAAAGCTTTACTGCATAACATGCAGTACAGTATAAACACTATAAATTATACAGAACAACATAACACTAAACAAAATGATTACACAACAATGAGAACTCAGTATAATGTGGTTGACAACTATATAATCTCACCTCGTTGGCTCATGCCTCTGTAGTCAACGTATTCTCAACTTTGTTATTTTAAAAAGCTATTGCAGTATGTTTTAATGAAAAGCTGAGGAACCATAAAAATGATATCCATGCTTTACAAGTGGGATGAGAAAAAATAAAAAATACAAGGTTCTTAGTAGTCAGTAATTTAAAATATCAGGATTGTAAGTAAAGTAACAATGTTTGAGTAAAAAAAAAAAATCACGATTACTGCTATTAGTGGGTAACTAAAACATTTCTCAAAGCATTTAAAAAGGCAACATTTATTATGCTTAAATATCTATAACTAAAAACTTAATGCGTGTTCCAGGGTTACAAACTATAATCTGGCATGAAGTTTGCTTTAAACAAAAACAAGTGATTCAAAATTAATAAATTAGAAATGTCTTCAAGCAGAATCTTTCAAAAACATACATAGACTCCACTTCCTTATTATCTAACAAATCAATTTGTTATTACCTAAATAGTTAAATTGCTCGACGACATCATTACTGGCTTGTAATATTACCCAATTTATTACTTATTTATACTTTCAATATATAGTGTGTGTGTGTGTATATATATATTATATATATATATATATATATATATATATATATATATATAATATATATATATATATATATATATATAATATATATGCAATAAGATCACAGTGAACAGGTGATTTCAGAATATGAAAAACAATCACTCTGAAAGAATAGAGAAATTCCAAGCGCTTTCGTGACTACTCACATTATCAAGGAACTATCAATGTGATTAGTCACGAAAGCGCTTGGAATTTCTCTATTCTTTCAGAGTGTTTGTTTTGCATATATATATATATATATATTATATATATATATATATAATATATATATATAATATATATATATATATATATAATATATATATAATATATTTGGTAATTTGTATCCTTAAATAATGCATTACTTCCCCAAAACAATAAGTTATTTTTTGCAAATGTTTATTTACGTCAGCCAAAAGAACAAGAGTATCGTCCGCTTATGCAATGAATATTTACTTTTAAGAGAAACCTACATCCCACTGCCATACAAGCTGCTTCTTGAAGCACATTAATACATAATTAATATAACAGTGGTGAGAGGATGCCCCCTTGGTGAATGAGACATGTGCAACACGTGGATATCTTTACTGCCGAAACGTTTCGCCTGCACAACAGGCTTCAACTGAATCGAGACGAATATAAAAACTAGAGGCAGCAGAAGAAATACCTTTGACCCTGATCAGTCCGGAAGCCTTGATAGGAGGCAGATAGTCCTCAAGAGCTTTCTACAATGACTGTCAAACTGAACATGTCAAATCTATTTCTTCTAATATCTCGAGTAATATATTCGCTTGTTTTGGGCTGAAGAATCCTGCTGTACAGTAGAAACATTTCGCCAATAAAGATACCTAAGTGTAGCACATGTGTCTTATTTAAACAGCGTGACATTACTGCATATCATCAGAAACATAATAGGATACTCCCGTATCGAACAGTTCGTAGCTATTGTAAAATGACTGCCTCTCAGTGTCGGGGATACGTTTAAAGCTACGTTGCTAACAGGGCAAACAACATATTGGGTTGGTGTTTCCTCTAGCGTCGACGTTGTTCCCGTTATGAATGTTGCTACAACGTTTCTGCAGTCGGCGATAAAGTGAAGAGGAAGTGCAAGAGTTTGAAAGCTTGTGTAATGAATTCACATTCCTTCGAGGAACGGCGGGCTGCATACCCTGTATTTCCTTGGAAAGGCTCGTACCAAGACACGTGATGGAGTAAAAAGAAGCAAGTCTTTCTTTCAGTGGGTTTTCTATATACTTTGAATAAGGGTCTATTCCTGCCTGTGTGGATTAACACGTCTAGGAATGACAACTGATTGTTTTAATCTTCTTAAGGGTGAATTTTAGGTCGACTCCAAGGTGTTAAGGGTGTTGAGGATGCTTTGCACGTCCTGGCTCTTGGGCACAGTGGCCAAGATATCATCGACGTAGCGCAACCTGGGAACAGTCGCGGATGGTTGCAGTATGCGAATTGATTTCGCATACAGCCAGCCCCACATACTGCGCTTATGGTGACCCATAGCAAGAAACCCAAAATAATTGTTTATACTTTTGTCCCTAGAAATCGAAGCAATTGTAACGTATACAGAACTCTACCGGGTCATCAAAATCCTTTAGTTGGGGGGAGTAGGTCCATATCATCTGTGATCTTGTGGAGCGGGTCAATATTTTTAATCATCAGGAAATTTGTATATAGCGCTTTTGACGTCATAATATGCAAGTTTCTTTACCTATATATTGTATTCTTTATGCGATTTAGTAGATTTCCTGAATGTTTAAGGTGCGCCTAGCTGAATAGTTCCCAAGTCTGGAAAGATGTGTTTGCCAATGTTCTTACTAGTTTGTGTGGTGCCTCCACCGCTGAGTAATCGTCTCTAAGCCGACCCATCTCACCTCTTGCATCTCTCAGGACTGAAGAAGCCACTTGTGGCGAAGCGTTTCCTCATTGTCTTCAACTGTGCATATTTGCCTTTATCCATATGGACAAGTATGCCTACTGTTGCGAAATTAGGAGACCCTAGGGTGTAAAATACTGGTCAGCTCACAAAAAAAGCGCTAAACAGGTGGTGAATACTGTTCATGACCTTAAGTTTGATCTTCCAGGGCGGATATAATAAATTGCCCATTAGAAAAAGAAAATTTATATGATCAGCGAATCCCGATGAGTCAGCATACTCATAGCCTACTCGTAAATACGCTATTATTTATGTACTCTCCACTCAAAAAACAGGCCAGGCACTTCCCAGGGTCCACCTGAACACAAAACAAAACCCAAACGCATCCTACAGCCTGAGCATCACCATAAAAAACACAAACATTTATATACCTCGCCTCGGCGCCATGTTCCCCCACCCTCCTCCTAGTGACGCTGTGGCTCTCTCTAAAGTATCCACCAAAACGCCAACATTATTTATAAAATTATGGAGCACTTTTTTCAAACTATAAACACCTTATTGTGTAATACAGTTTATCACAAGGCAGTAGCCTGCATAACACCTACTAAAATATTCGTCCAGTCTTATATTTTTAGAACAGTGAGAGTAAATTACTTCTCAAGGCAGTGGAGGTGAAAGTAACTCAACACAGTAACATCGTTCCCGAGAGACAAAGGTGGCCTACAGTACGGCTGGTGGTCTATGATTAAGAAAAGCACAAAATAAAAGGACAGGAAAGACTATCAAAAAATAAGGCAGGTCAAGAGGAAAGGGTGTAATCAGGTCATGCTAAGTGTTCTGAAGACTGCAGCATTTACCCAATGCATTCCTCTTTAAAAGGAGGGGGGCTCCTTGTCGTGGTAAAGAGGCTATTCATCTGAGGAATTGGTCTTTTTTTATCAGACCGAACCTAGTTACCACCCCCCCCATTTCCCCTTCCCCATCCCATCCTCCCCATCCCTTCACACCCTTTCCTCCTCCTACTCATCCCCATCCCACCCATATCCCCTTCCTGTATTCAGCCTTTGGGTTTGTTTCCCCAGGCATCTAGTTCCTAGGTAGGGGGAAGGATACCGTGGTCCAATTCATTTCATTGAGGTCCTTGGTGGTGGTGTAGTTTGCCGTGGAATCTGGATCAGCTGGGATGTCCCAGTCCCTCTCCGTCTCCCGGGGGAGGGGACTTTGGGTGTCTTTCGGGTGACGGGTGTATCTCTGGAGTCTACCTGTCGGATTCCGGGGTGGTGACCACAGGAGGTATGCTTTGTGGTGGGTATCCGACTGCCCTCTCTTTTGTCCACCAAGGTGGCTTGGTAGATGTGAAGTTATCCCGGATTGCTGGTTTACTGGCTTGAAGGGTCGGGTACAGCATGGGTTTTCATGCCACATCTGCATTACCGGTGGTGGTAGGGTTTCTCTAGGGCGTGGAGGGGGATTTATGGCCCTTTCATTCATCATAGGAGCTATCCAGTGCCGTGCCGGGCCGTGCCACCGTGCACCATGTTTTTTCGTGTTTTTTCAAGGTCTCCTTGCGTGCTGGGAATTTTAAAAAACTGCCCGTAAACTTAAAAAGATATATCCCTCCCTGTTTGGGAAACTAATCTTCGGGAAAAAAAATATGGGGGAGTAAAAAAAGGGAGAACAGGGGTTAAAATTTAACAAACCCAAAAACCTACTCTCGGGGGGGAAACCCTAGGCCTGGGGTCCCCCGGAAAATATTAAAACTTTTTGCAGGGGAAAAAGGACATCTCCTGAAAATAGGGGTTTGTCATTGTAGGGGTTGTGTGTTTTACCCCCATTTGGAACCTTAGTATATGGATAATAAATGAAAAGGTGAATTTAAAAATAAAAGTGAAAGGGCCCAAGAAAACGGGTTTCATTTTTGTAAACAGTTGCCGGGCGTCGTCAGAAACCCCCCCCATGAAGGCCGCTAGTTTTACCTAAACCTTATTTTTAGTGATACCAGGGGGGAAACCATTACTTTTTTGAAATGCAAGAGGGGGAAAAATTCCGAGGAAATACGAAAAGTTTTACAGTTTTAAAAGAAATAGAAAAACGGTGTATGTTTTAGTACGTATACAGGGGAAAATTTTCCATAAAACCTTAGTAGCAGCGGTCGCAATAAAACCCCACAAAAAAAGAAAAATATTACTTAAAACAAAAAGCAATTTTCCCCTATAGTAATTTTTTCCCACCAGAAAACAAAAGTGTAACATAGAAATTTTTGTGGTGGAGACGGGAAAAAATCTAAAAAGCTAAATACATTTAAAAAAAAACCTTCGGCGTAAAAAAAGGGCATTTTCTCGACCGTTCATTGTAGGAGCTGCCAGAAAATAAAGGGGTTCCCCCAAACCCTAAGTTTTATTTTTTGTATAAATCAAATCCCATATTACTCCATTTTAAATAATTTCCAGTAGTTCTTTCATGTGTTAGCCCAAACACCGACCAGATTATTTTAATAAGTGACCCCTGATCAGATCCGACGGGTTTCCCAAACCCTTGCAATTTTTAAAAACGGATTCGTTGGAAAAAAAAAACGGACTATAAACAGGGGGGTTTTTGGGGCGCCCTTATAAAAAAACACAAACCAAAGCTACAAAAAGCAATATCCTAGGGGGAAAGCTTGCCCAAATTACAATTCCATATGGGAAATAAAAATACAAATACCCAAGATCCATTTAAAGGGGGTTATTAGTAAAAATATATTAAGGGGTTTTATTAGTGGGAATTACGAAAATAACCCATTAAAATCACATTATGAAATCCTGTGTTTCTGAAACCAAAAAAAACAAACGACCCTTTCCAAACAGGGGATTTTATAAAGCCTTTGGGGAAATTTGGGTGCCGCCCCCTGTGCAGATATCCAAAAATTTTCTAAAGAGGTTTTAAAAACCAGGGAAGGGGTTTTTGGGTATCCCCAAATGAGATAAATCTTTTGGAGAAAAAATCACTTTGGGTATTAAAAGGGAAAATTATCAAAGCGGGCCTTCTTAAAAAACCCCTGGGGCATTCCATAAAAAAAAAATGGGAAAATAAAACACTGGGCAGGATGGGGGCTACCCCCCTTGTTGCGGTTTTGCTTTTCCTGGCTGACATTTAACTGTATTCCCGGGAGGTGGGGCCAGGAAAGAAAAGGAACTGAAAAGGCGGGGAAAGGGGCTGTCCTGGTGGGAACAATAACTGTTGAGGCTGGAGGTGCTGTCCTGGTAGGAGTAACCGGGGGGTAGAGGTGTCCCCTGGTAGACGAAAACTGTACTCACCTATTTGGGGTTTTGGGGGGGTCAAATTCATAGCCCCGGGCCCTGCCTTTTCATGATTGCTACTGGGTTTCCCTCTCCCCCTGCCCATGAGTTTTCCTAAAACCCCTCGCCTTAAAACTATTTTTGGGGTTCCCACCTCCACTACTTTCACTTTCTAGGCAATTCCAGGGCCCTGACTACTTATGTTTGGGAAGAAATATTTCAAAACATCCCTTTGATTCATCTGAGTCTTCAACTTCCAATTGTGACCTCTTGTTTCTTTGTCCCATCTCGGGGAAAATCCCGTTTTGTCCCCCCTTTTCTATTCCCTGCAGGATTTTATATGTTATTATCCCTTTCTCCCACTGACCCCCCCTGTCCTCCAGTGTTTGTCGGCCGATTTCCCTCAAAACCCTTTTTTCGTAGGACCCAAACCCCCTTTGCTCTGGGATAGTTTGGGTTTCAACCTTTGCCCTTTTTTCTAATTTCTTGACATGCTTGAAAACCCGGTTTTGGATTCCAAACCGGTGCTTTCATACTCCATATGGGCCTGACGTAAATGGGATACAGAGCTTGAAGGTTCCTTTCTGAGGATTTGGAAAGCTATCCCTAGGTCCCGCCAAACGGGCCCCTTTGCTGCAGCAGTTATTGATTGATGGGGCGCCTCAGGAGATGTTTTCGGTGTTATAACTTTCCCCCCAAAACTTTTTTTCCCTTTAATGGGTTTGCAGTCTTTTGGGCCCTCTAGACTTATTTGGGTCTGCGGCTTCTTTGCCCCTTTCCCCAATCTTCATGACTTTGCATTTGGGGAGGGGTTAAAATCAAGGAGAGTTGCTGGACCAGGCTTGCAGCCTGTCCCGGTCTCTTTGCAGTCCTGGGCCCGTTCCCCGTCCCGATTTTATTCCCATTAAAATTAACTTTATCTGCAAACAGGGCATTTTGATCATCCTTTCCCTAAAACATTCACATATTTCCCAAAAAAAGAACAGTTTCCAGGGCTGCCCCCTTTGGGCCCCCCCTTGTCACAAAGGGCCCCCCCTGCCCCCTCGTAGTAAAGGGCTCGTTGTTGCCTTCCTGTCAGGGATTCTCTGATCCATTGCAGTGCCTTTCCTGTTATGTGCGCCTGATCCTCTAGCTTTTGCAGGAACCTCTTTTGAGGAACTGTATCAAGGCCTTCTTGCAGTCCAAGAAAATGCAGTCGATCCACCCCTCTCTCTCTTGTCTTACTTCTGTCACCTTGTCATAAAACTCCAGTAGGTTTGTGACACAGGATTTTCCTTCCCTGAAACTGTGCTGGTTGTCGAT